TCCTCAAGAGCTGTCAGTGTATATTGAAAATGGCAAGAGTTAGCTCACATTTTAGAAATAAGAAATTGAGAAAGTTAGGCTGAAGAGGACAGGAACTTGCTCCCAATTGGGCACACTCAGTGGTGGCTCCCTGCATCTCCTCTTTATGCTTTATCAGCAAGCACAGAGTAGAAAGATCTCAATCAAAGCAAACAGAAACATTAAAGAAGAAAATTCCTGAGGAAATGTGTACACTTTTGAAAGAGGAAATGCTTTCTTTCACACAGACATGAAATTAGAAGGCATAAGGAAAAAATTGGACTTGATCTACTCTTTGCTACAATTATTTCTGTCAAAGTTGGGATTTTTCCTCATACCTCATCATCAGTTAGTCTGCACAAATAATCCAGAAGTTGAACAGAACCTAATCATATGATCATATTTAACTGAAAGGGGAACTGGGAAATGTCATTTCTACCCCGGCATCTAAGCCTCCAATTAAAACTTGGAAATAGAAGAAGGGAAGTGAGCCTCTATTAAGAAAAGAAAGAGAGCATGCATATTATTAGATAGAAATTTTAGTCACAATTCAAACTTTCCAAGTATCCATGTAAAATATGGATATTTCTTATATATTCAGATGCTCATCTAATACTATGACAAAATCCATTCTATCTGAGTAATTCAAAATTAATTCTAGATGTGACTCCAAGTGGTCTGGCAAAACACACATCAATCATGGTCAGTAGCAATGATGAAATTCTTTTAGATGTGCTAATTGCAGAGTTCTTGCAGTAAGATCCCAGCTCTTCATTTAGAGAATCACTTTGTCTATTCATAAGCATGACTTTTTTTTTTTTTTTTTTTACTATTTTCTGGTCATAGAGAAAATTGAAATTGGACTAGAATCTTCTAGCCTTTCACATGTGGCAGTCATTGGCCTCAGTGTTTGTTTGCTTTTCCCAAGAACATTATTAAACTTGCCTTATCTACTTGCTTTTGTTACCCTGCCCATATTCTCCCTTTTATGTGATAGTGGTCACCTTGGCATCATGTGAAATATATGTTTGAGCAGGCAGTTCTGGCTTGTCTGATAAGTCTTGATGGGCAGTTTCTGATCAAAACTAAAAGAGAGTATCATATCTTGCTATATAGGGTCCTGTTTACATTTTCAGATCTTCAACTTTCCAGATTTCTGGGCTCTTGTCTTTAGATTTCTGACTTCAAGAAGAAAAAAAAAGTCATAATCATAATTAAGAGAGTTCTAGTCTCTTTGCTTGCAAGATCTCTTCCCTCTCTATAGGCCAGATCATCTCTCCAGATATACCTGAGTATATAATGCTTTACACTTTAGTATTCTTATTCTTTTCCTCACCTCTTCAAGATATGCCTCCATAGATAGCTGTCAGAAAACAGTAAGAATGGTGATAGTAAGAGAAAATACCAATTCTTTCACATATGAAGTGCTATATTATGCTTTTCATAGAGTCAAATACTAGATAGTATTTTTGTAATATTGTCTTTTTTTATTAGAAAGTTATGTAATAAAAGTGCCTTGAAATGTGAATTGTGACTTGAAACGTCACAAAAAGGAATTATAAGCCTGAAAAATACTCAGTGTCTTACTTAGCTCACTGTCACACTGCAACTCTGCTTGGCCATAATAGTTTATAATAATTACCTATGAAAATGGTTTTTTTATGCTCTACGTCCTTGTTTCTTTCATTTCCTTTCTTTCAATGTTGTCTACATCCTATCTCGGTATCCACATTTGTGGTATATGCTCTGAATCATGTCATTACCAGTAAATGTGACCCCTCTGTGAATAACTCTCCATCCTTTCATCATCCCTTATCTTTTCAGTTCATGTCCACTGATAACAGAAATCCAAATACATTTTTACTGCATTAGGACATATGATTTATTGGTTTTATTAGATTTTCACTGTTGTTTATGCTGATAGTTACTTCCCTTCCTAACCTATTTGAATTTAGTAGCACAATACACTTAACTCAGCTCATTGTTCTCTCCATTAGTTACAGTTGTTTATTAGAGTGACACTGTCAGCCTTACAGGTGTTTACTTTGATGCATTGGAATAGTTAGAAGAAACAAACAAAAACAAGCAACATAAACTATCCCACTTTCATGATCACTAATTTTCAGAGCTGTGTAATTGCCAAATAATTATTTACTTCTTCTATTTCCTCTCCCATATTTACCATATTTTCTGTTTTCACTTCCAACCTCTTCCCTAATCTTCATTTCCACCTATTTTACAAAAAAAAAGAAAAAGTTTTCATAAAACTTCCACCTACATATTTACCTACCAACCTGCATGTATTCCCATATTCTCAACCTTCTCTCCTGTTATTGTAGATGAAAAATTTTAGCAGCATTTTACTGATAAGGGCCTTCTCTAGGCAGTAAGCATGATTACCCTCATTTCAACAATCCAAGAATGATAGTTTTAGGAAGTTAACACATTTCAAAAACTTTAGGATTTACGTAAGGTCATTTATCTAAATGCAGATCAGTGATAATTGCAATATGCTGTATTTGTGCGGTCTGATACTGTAGCCTCAGTTATGTGCACTATTGGCTGCTTCATTATTTTGGAGCTGTGGATAGTATAATGGAAAGAAGAAATATTTATCTGTATTAAATTTTAATTTATTGAAATTTAAATAGCACATGGGGTTGTGGCTACTGACTGACAGCACAGTTTTTGGGACATAATATAGTGGAGTGTTGAAGAGTTCTGACACGTGGAGAACATTGAAGAAGCTATTATATGAGCAGCAGTGAGAGTTTCTCAGAGCTATAACAAAAGTCCATGACCCCTGAGCTTTAATTCTGATCTCCAGAAAACTTTGAAAAATGAAAATATTTCTATATTTCTGTTCATAGTAAAATCTGACTCTGAAATTATTTGGTACAATCCTACACTGCATTTTCTTCCATATAGTCTAAGTATTTGCATATTTAACTGAAGAAATAACAAATTTTTTAAAGTGTAGATTATTCCCAGGATGTATTAGATCGGTGATGAGGAATATTTTCTTTGTAATATCTGAAATTGTTTTTACTATGCTATATGATATCTGACTCATCAGGGATTATGAATAAAATCTAGAAGCAAGTAGTAACAAGTGCAAGTGGAGATGAGGATTAGGAGTGAGAAAGTAAGGTCTTTAGTGGTATGTCTAGCCAATAAATCTTGGCAGTCAAATGACATTGGGAAATGGGAGCAAAGTAGCTCAAAGGAATGCTCTGTTTTTAAATTGGCTAAGGAAAGTGATTAGTAGTTTATCAAGTCTCAGGAGAAGGAATGGATTTGGATCTGTAAAGAGAATTTTAGAGAGATAATCAGTTCTATTTTGCAGGCTGAGTTTCAGTTTTATTTATACAAGTAAATAAAGATTATTGTCCAGTTAAAATTCTGTTGTATTTTTCCCTGTATCAGTTATCTATATTGATTAAAATTATATTTTCTTCACCTATTCCAATATCTTATTTTTGCAATACATATTTTATGGTAACATTCTCTTTACTAATTTGGGATTAAATTCAGCATGAATACAACCATTTATACAGACTAATTGCAATATGAAGTCAATGCAGAAGGAAAATAATTTTCCTGTAAAATATTAAGTATCAGAAGTATGTGGTTTTAAAAATGTCCCTAGAGATCTATATAAGCAAAAAATAAAAGAAAGAAATAATAAAGAGACATTAGCAGACCCTTGATATTTTTATAGACTAAATTATGAGATTTAATAATAGTATACAATTTCTTCTATAAAATGTGAAAGAAGAAAATAAATAAAATATGAAAAAAATTGTAAGTACTTTCATATTCTAACTCATATTATCAAAACAGGGGTAAGGTGAATATTTATTTGCACTGAACATATATTGAACCATTTCCCAAGTGACCTTATTTCTTTTTAAATTGTATGGTGTGTATATTCATTTTGTATATTTGTCTCACTTAAAAATTCAACCATCTATTTCTTAATTTAGCTAAAGCTGCTGTTTTCTGCCTATGGATATTTGTTTTGTTAGAACTTTAAACATTGCCTTTATTTTAAAGACTAGCCTTGTGGTTTACTTGCGAAGGGAAGGTTTTGTTCCAAAATAAACAGTACTTTAATCACTCATCTAAAACATGGCTCTTGTTGAAACTCTTTTTGTTGAAACTAAATATCTGGCATTGGGGCTTTTGTTCTTGTGAGAAAATAATGTATGGGGACAGAGCTGCCTCATTTTCCTTCAAATGTGACATATAACCTCTGTCCTCACCCCCAGCACACTACTGCTTTTATAATATTGAAATTCAATTGCCATTTGTTATTTTTCTTAGTTGCATCCTATTATCTTTTGAAGTAATGACATTAGGTGTTAAGGTATAATTTAAATTCAACCTCATTCTAACATTCATTTTCTGATAGATGTTATATTTATTTTTGATCATATGAAATTTATTACTTATACATAATATAAATAGCATGAGTCACATCTTTTAATAATTAGTTTCTGTCTTTATACTGTGTGATTTAATTTCACATATGGTTCTAAATCAACATTACTGATCTTCATTTTTAGTTTAGGGAAAAGTGGTTTTGTCTACACACTTTCATATAATCTAGAAGTTCAATAAAAACTAATATGCTCAGGTCTTACTAAAAAGGGAACTGGGATTTATTTTCCAGATTGTACCTAAACCTACCTACCTCTTACCTCTTTGTATAAATGAAGTATAGGAAAAATGCAGAAGACTGCCATTTTTATTAAAGACAAAATGAAGGCTTAAACACAAAATATCACTTAGCTCATCATCTAGTACTCTTACGAAATATTTTTCCTTGGGGAAAATTGCACTTGGAAATATCTCTAAAAAGGTTGTTTATATTGAAACAGTGTTTAAATTGAAAGTAATTTTATTAATTGTTTTATTTTTAATACTTAAAAAATATTACTAGGTAAATTTTTCTAATTTACCTATTTTATTTCAAACAGATCATGTTGTTTGTGAAGAAGAGTTTAAATACGCCATGTTAGCTTTAAACTGTATATGCCCAGCAACATCTACACTTATTACACTACTGGTTCATACCTCTAGAGGGCAGTAAGTATATTTTTTTCTTTAAGATAATAATGCATTTTAAATTAAAAAAATAATATAAGTTCAGTTATGTGACTTAGAAATATAGTAAGCCAAGATATACCAGGGGATAATGTACCTATCTTATAATTGTAAGAGTTATCGTCACCTAATAATAGGTCAGTGGGTAGAGATAAAGAGAGGACTTGTTAAAATAGCCGAGACAACAGTATTTTGCTATTTTTATTAATCTGAGATCACTTATTTTATATAAATTTGTTTGGTTTAGAGTTAGCTTCTATTTTTTAGATTAATTCCTAGCAAATAAAATTTTAAGAAAGAGGATGATGATAGTCACTAGTGTAAATTCTTAAGCCAATATTGTCTATTTGTGAGGTAAGTTTTTATCTCAAACCTATATGTACACAATTAAGCTCAGAACTGTAATTTTGTACTATTATAGAATAACAAAGTAGTAAAATGAATCAATATATTATAAAAATCACCTTTTTATATTCATTTTGGGGCACATGGGGGAGATTATATAATCAAAAACTTTTTGGCTATTTGTTTATTTTGATAGTCACAAAAAAAACAGATCAAGTCAAGTCGTGATCAGGGGAGAGAAAAGAAAATAGTCACTGCTCCTCTTAGTAACATTGCATACTTTTTCACATTTGCTACTTATTATTTTTAGACAGAATGTTGATTTTTCTAAGTAAAATCCACTGAGGTATTTGTGATTATGATTATTTAACTTAAGCAAGCTAATTGATAGTTATTTAAATGAAGCACCAAGTAAAATAAGTCAAGGGAAGTTGCTAAATGGAAAGTTGTAAATGTCCTACAGTATTTGAAAGTAGCTTTTACTGTCTTCCTTCTCATTACATTTCTGTTCTTTTGGTACAATAAAAGTTTCCCAGGAACGATTTTCTTAAATTTCTAATTAGAAATATGTCTGCTCTATACATTATAAATTTTCATTCTGATCAATAGAAATAATATAACAGGGTCATGAATAAAATATTTTTTCTTTGAGGAAAGTCCTAACTATTTTGATAATTTAAATAAATACTTGAAATCTATGTTGACATCAGTTAGTTGACCATTCATAGAACTTATCACATGGTTCAATTTTCATGCCATCTTTGTCATAGAATCATAAAGCTTTAGAGTTGACTATCTATTGTAGCTTTGTTGTTACACAAATGAAAACACATCAACTGCATTCATCACCACTCATAGACTGAAGTTAAATTACATTGTCCAATTATAGTAAATATTATTTATTGGCTCACAGTATTGCCTGATGAACAGATTAGACTTCACATAGCTAAAAAGGCCATAAAAAATTTCCAGATACTCCAATGAATTTTGCTATATTAGAAAAGAAAGTTATGTTATTAAAAATATTATCATATAATTAGGAGTTTCCATAATTAGGATTGACCTGCAAAATTATTCACATTAAGTGTTAGAATAAATGCATTAGTCCCACAGAATAACCACTTCAGAGCAGCTTTGAGATATGATTAACATTCCAAATAATTCACTGATTAAAAATGTACACTTCACTCTTTTACAGCACATTCATAGAATTGTGAAACCACCTCCACTGTTTAACATCTGGATATTTTCATCATCCAATAAAGAAACTGTCTACTTTTTAATAGTGACCAATGTTTCCCCTCATTCTTTCTAGCTTTTGGTAAACATTGATCTTACCTGTCTCTGTAGACATTCTTATTCTGGGTATTGCAAATAGATGAAATTATACAAGTTATGTGTGTGTTTTCAGATTGGCTTCTTTCAATTGACAATATGTTTTCAGGATTTATCATGTTGTAATGTGTCGGTAATTATTTATTTGTGATGACTGAATAATATTCTCTTCTATGGATATATTACAACTGGTTGTTATTTGGTTTGTTCCCAGAAAACTGAGTAAGGCTGCCCTTAACTTTCACAAAAAGGTTTCTATGTAGGAATATACTTCATTTCCTTTGGGTACATGTATAGGAGCAGAATTGCTTCGTTACCTGATAACTCTGGTTAGCCTTTTTTAGGGACTACCAGAATATTTATCAAACAGATTTTAACATTTTCTGTACCCACAAGCAATATGTTAAAAAGTTCCATTTATTTCTTCACATGTCAATAGTATATTCTACTCTCTATTCCAGTGTGTGCAAAGTAGTGTCTCTCCTTATGGTTTTTGTTTGCATTTCACCGGTGACTAATAACACTGAACATTATTTCATGGCTTTATTGGTCATTTACATATCTTCTTTGAAAAGAACTTAAGAGCCCTTGCCTATTTTTTTAAATTAATTTTTGCCTTTGATTTTTAAATTAAGTGTTCCTTATATATTCAAGACACTTGTTCTTGTCAGACATATTCCATTAATTGAAACTAGAAAATTATTGAAAAGGTCACCTACTTTAACATATCAGTGTGTGCTGGGCTGAATAATTTGTGTCTTCTTCTGTATTATGTATTAACTGAGAGTCAAGATTAATTAGCAGAGCATGTTTGAAATGTTGTCCTTGAGCATCTGCAAAAATTAGAGAGCTCAACATTTGATTTAATAATAAGAGAATAAACTTGGCTCTGGAGTAGGTATTATAGCGGAAAGAATGTTGAAATGCTAGGAAATATTCATGCAGGTGTTCATAAACCACTCACTGAAAACAAACCTGCATAAAAATACTCAAATTTTTCTATTAGAGGGAGAGTAGTATATAAGTTTCACTCTGTAATAAATGGTCATTTTGACTAAAAATAACAGATGTTGATAGGCTCATGTATCCTATTAGTTGATAAAAAGTGAAAAAAGAAATGAAGACTGTATAGAATACCACAAGTATAGAAGTATAAAGAACATAACACAAAAGTAAAAGGACCTTATTTAAAAATAAAGCTGTTGATAGATTTTATGTGTTTAAAGATAATAATAAAACTGAAGCATATGAGTTAAACAAAAGCATCAGGAGTTGAAGCGAAATGGTCAGATCTTGTAGTAAAATACTTACTTTAGGTCTAAGTAATATGACATGTTTACTCAGTCCAAGAATCAGAATAGATGTATATAAACCATCACCCTCATCCTTAGTTCTCTTCTTGTCAGTGGAAATTCATACACAGATGAAAACCACAAGTTAATGATTAACAATTTCCATACTTACATTTGAAACAATTATCTTGCATTGAAATGCCCACAGCAACTTATTCAATATACTTTCATCTACATCTCCTAAGGCTGATTAACACACTTATATTTCCTTTTTCCTACATGTTAATGTATTCATTTTATTCTCTTTGACCCATAAGTCACAAAGTAGTTTTTAGAGAACTTCAAGTCCTTGTGCTACCATTATCTTTGTAAGTACTTGATAATTCCCCTTGCTCACTTCATTTATATTTGAATGTGTAGTACTCTAGGGAGTGGTGTTTATGATAGTTACTTAAACTGGCATTTTGATTTATTTAGCAGTCTTGCTAGAAAGATAAACATAAATTCATTCTGTGGACAAAAATTGCTGTCAGGTGTTAAGCATGATTTGTGATTATTTAACAAGAAAAGGCTACATTATCAGCCACTTGATAGACATTGAACTTAGCCATCTGGACATTCCATACTTATCAAAATTTAATTTTATTTTCATTTCATAAAAAATTTTTTATCAGTCCCTTCCAGGAAGTAATAATTTTGGTGATCATCAGTGACAAATAGTTGAAAAGAAAAATATAGCAAGGGTAGAATTTATAGAAACTGGCCACTTGTTAGAAATGAGAATAGTAAAGTTAAAAGAAGAAAATCTCACATGCTGAATCTGGTCAGAACTATAAAATACATTATTTGACAGAAGCAAAATGGAGTTTTGCTGAGAGCTCAAATCTATTGATACAAACTTGGCACTATCAAAATAAGGAAATATTTTAAATATCTATAGTATAATTGTGTTATTATTATTTTTCATTATCCTTTCTTGAAATTTTAATATGTTCTATGTCAAAGAACTCAGTCCAAATATTATTAAATGAATGTGATTCAGAAATTGTTCTCATTTGTTAAGCAACTAATATTGGGCACTTTGGAAACTGCATAACCTAATCATAATTAAAATTTCTGCTGCAAATAAAAATTATAAATTTAGGGAGATGTGTAAAAGGAAGGAATACCAACTTTGTCACAGATGATGACTCAGAAACTAGCAAAGCCAACTAACACCACTGAGTTCATTCAGTCATTTTAAATGGAAAAGTTGAGATAATGTAAATACATGCTGATTTTATTTAACACGCATTTATTGAATGCCAAGTGTGTGATAAAACCATTCCAGGTGTTGCAGCTACAAGGAAACTGATAGCAAAACTACCTGGAACCTTTTATTCTGTTCCAGGGAGACAGGCAATGATGCAAAATAAGTTTATAATATCCAGAAGGCAATAGTACAGTAGAGAAAAATAAAGCAGAGAAAGACCACGAGGAGTGCACAGATAGAATAGTGGGTCCAATTTAAATGGTGGGGTCATGTAATAATATAATCACACTATCTTGAAGCAAATTTATTTTATTCATAGGACCACAGAACAGAAACCTCAAAGAGAAATCAATTGATAAATGATACAAATGTATACTTTTTTAAAATTTTTTTAAAGTTTTTATTTATTTATACAGAACTGGGGTACAGGCCAGAGATGCGGGAGGGTGAGAGGATTCACCAGGAACAGAGTGGGGAGCAGAACAGGCAGATCGATGAAGTACACTGCTGAGGGGAACAGCGGGCGGGTCAGGAGAGGTCTGCCTCGCCATGTGGTCACCTCCGGGGCAGGCGGGATCGAACTCATGCGGAAGTGGCTTAAGCTTTTCAGTGCAGTGCTTTAACCCACTGCGCCACCAGGGAGGGCCACAAATGTATACTTTAAGTATTTTGGATGGGTGTAAAACATTACAATGTTACATTACAAAAATGTATTTATAAAGGAGGAGCTAAGTTATTTTTATATTTTAGTTAGAATC